GGATTTTAGATGATCAATGAGGGTAATATCACACCTGCAGACTGCTGTGCTGACCCCAGGAAGCCCAGCAGCGTCAGAAAAAAAAAAGCCAATTAAAAGAAAAGTGCTCAAAAGTAAGCTCTTACAAGAGCTGAGTGAAGTACACAAAGATTTTTAATTTGGGAAATTCAAAGTACAGGACAATATGTCTTCTTATACTCAGTGGAGAGGAGAGAAAGGAAAAGAGAGAACCAAGATGAAGATGTAGCAGCCTGAATAGTGGATATGTTTTTACCATCATGGTGAGCAGAGCTGCTATTCCTTAGGTTATTCAATTCGTGGAAGGTATAGAATGCATCCATAGTTTATTTATTAATCTTTTTAACATATAAAACCACCTAATTTACATATAGGTTTTACTAAGTCTGCAGTTCAGAAAGTAAATTTCCTCCATGTAGTACAATAATTTTAAATACTTAAGAAATTATAGTATATATTTTCAATTTTTTTCAGATTAATTCCAGTTATTACCTTTATATTACATAGTATTTACATCTCTGATGAGTGACACATTCACACCTTGTATCTTAGTCTACAAAACCTGCAGATAGTGTTCTGTGAAGAAAGTGGTATCATGATAGAACCTAAGGATGCAGAGGGACCCTGGCCTGTTTCCATGTAGGACAACGGGATCCCCTGGGCCCGCACTGCCTCCCCAGGCAGCCCAAAGCTCCAGCTCACTCCTCTGCTCCCAGGGCACTTGTTCCAGGTTCTCTCTTAATCACCGTGCTGTGGTTCAACCCACCCCTCCTCATCCTATCCCCAAAGGGAAGAATTTATTCCTCTTTTCTTTGTAGCTCCAGTTTTTATATTGCTGTCATCATAGCTATCCCTCAAGCTCCCTTTTGCCAAGGTAACCAATGCTAACACCTTCCATGCTCCCTCGGGATTTTGTTTTGACATCCTGAGTCCCTTCTGTCACTCTCCATTTGGTCCGTATCTGTCTGCAGTTTTCGCGCTGTTAGTTGTAACATTTTGCCGACGTTTTAGCAGCACTGCTCAGAAGACCGGAAAAACTCCTAGCATGTCCCACAAAACTGCTGCTGTTGTAGCTCCCTGGGAGAGATGCTTTTTTTCCCCCCTCAAAAGCATTTTGTTCATGTTACCTGCATATAGGTTTTGTGATCTGTTTTCCCCACCTTTTTCTGCCCTACTGCTTCCCACCCAGTCCTTCCCCACCTGTATTTGCTCCTGTGCCATTAACAAGCTTTCTGCCAGCATTGCTTCCCGAGGGCCTTATAGAGACTGACTTTTCCCTGGGTGTAACTATTAATTCAGCATTGCACTCCAAAATTAAAGGCAGAATCATCTTCTAAGAAAGAAATGCTGAAAATATTTTTTAAATCTTATTTTGCACCTATTAATCTGAGAGACAACAGAAGAAAATCCTGTTCAGCATAACTCATGTTTACAAAACATGTTTACATGATTTAGAGGAATGTCATGGCAGCTATATCAGATACCAACAGTATAAAGTTCACTACAAGAAAATATAAATCTAGATTACTAACTTTATGGTGACGAGGGTTAAAAGGGGGTACAGAGGAAAAAGGAAAGAGAATACGGGGAAAATGGAGAAAAAATATGTTTTTATATTATTAGCTTTATTTCTAGTATTGTTTGACTGCACAATTTTCCCTCTTTGCCCTGTTTTTTTCCCTTTTATTTCCTATTGGTACAAAAGTAGCTATTGTGGATTTGGGTTTAAGGTAAATAAATGCACCTTGGGGAAGAACAAAAACATCCATGACCAAGAATGCTCTGCAGAAACTCAGGTTCAGGATCCCCAAGAGCCTCCCCAGAACCATAACAAGTGTCACCAAACTGGTTCCCAAATTCTGCTCTCCCTGACCCCAGGGCTGGGTTTGGACAGAGGCCGGGGAGGCCGCCCTGGATCACAGGGGCCTCCACCAGGCCCAGCCCCAGGGAGATGCGGGCAGGAGCAAAGGCTGGCACAGGGTGGGCAGTTGTTAAAATAAATTTATGTTCTTTTGGGGACTGACACATGGCAGTAGCCTCTTGTCTTCCCTTGCTTAGGGGAATATCCAAAATATGGTTCCCCAGGCTGGGGCTCAAACACTCTTAGTGCACGGCCAAGCCATGTACATGCTTAGAGAGGCTCCCAAGAAAAGAAACAGGTTAAAACCTGACTATAAATGAGCCAGGAGGGCACCTCCAGCCAGCCTCGAGCACAGGGGCAGGCCCCAGCTGCCAAGCCAAGCAGAGGACATGGAGTTTGGTGTTAAGTCATGAGAAGGGCCTGTTTGCCAAAGATTGGGGCAGGCAGGGACATTCTCCTGGCAAAGAGACCCTGTTAACACAAATACTTCACGACTTGCTTAGGGCCAAATTCAAGACCAGACTGAGGGGTAAGGTCCTGGTTTGCAAGATTTGTTTTCAAGGTGACAGAGGTACTGCCCCACTTATGTCTTTTAGCCTGAAAAAAGGACTAATTACTTTCTTTACTAAGTGAAAAGTTGTCTGCTTAGAGCAAACAGGGACCCCACTTGAACTACCAGCAACCCCCCTTTGAGATCACACCTGTATTAGCCCAAGAGCTGAACAGCAGCTTCTGCACTGCTTCCTGCAGACCCTGCAACAAACAGACTGGCTGCAAGGTCTGACAGAGCAGGGTTATTTCTTGGAGAGGGAAAGATTAAGTACGGAGCAGGGTGTGCAATGCATAAAGCAGAAAACAAAACAGGTGCAGTTATTTCTAAGATGCAGCATTATCAGAGTTTTGTAAGTGTCTACACATAGGTCATTTAAAATGTCGGTACCTGAGTACATAGAGCACACAAGGTAAGAATCAGAAAAAAAGTATTTAACATCCTACATCCTTGTATTTTACAAAGTTACTGCATTTTTTTTCTTCAGGTAATCCATTTTACACTCCTAACCATTTCTGTACTGTGTAAAAGGCACCTGGGTAGAATGATATGTCAAGCATACAGAAGCTTCTTTTGCCCAGAACAATTAGACAAATATGTACACGACAAGAACATAATGTTTTATAAAATGTCAAATGCAGAGTAAGAGGTCTTAAAATACATTGTTAAAAAATAAAAGGTAGGTAGTGTGCAAAGTTACGTAAAAGAGCTTTTTGATATTTCAGAAAAAGTGTTAGAACAGTAGATTCAGGGTAAGTTATTTCTGTGTTCAGAGCAGCTTAATACTTGATGAATGAGAAATCCTCAAGACCTTGAGTGATTTCATCACCTGTGCTCAGTGAAGGGCTTACTGGTCTGGTGACAGTGGTTGGGTGTCTGTGAAAATTGTGTATCAAATTAAATTAGATGTCCATATGCTGATTTCCAAAGCTCTGGTGATTTTTCTTCAGCACAGTTGGCTTGACCAGTAGTAAACTGGGAATGTAATCAAAATCTCCATCTAGGCATGCTGCATTTGTTCAAAACTTCAGAAAGTTTGGAGAAATCTGCATGAAATAGAGTTGAGCAGGTCATTACATGTTAGAGCAAGTCTTAATTTTTCATTTTCAAGCAATCAAATCTTAACTAAAGGGTTATAAGCTTCAGTTTTCACATTTCATTGTAGTATTTTGGTGACATTCTCTGTTCAGGAAAGCAGTGTTTCACCAAAAGTAAGGTAGACTTCATTTGACATTACACAACCCCTTAGTTTAAGGTAAAATTTTACTTCTACTTTCTAAATAGCAATACTATTACCATCCCTCACTGCCTGCTTGGCATCTGTCTTTCCATTTATGAGCCAGCACAGGTATGTAGTAAACTAGATGGGGTGCAAGCTTCCTAAAAAGATAAACCTTTTGTCCCTCCTTCGAGTTGTGTTCATGCAGGCACAGCCATGTTCATGCTGACACAGTGCAGGTGTGGAAACAGGCAGCAGTGCGAGGTGATCAAAGCTAGTTTATGCCAACATGGTCCAAAACATCTCTATACAACAGACTACTGTATGGATGGGGGTCTTGCTGTATCAACCCAGCTGAAAAAGCTGTTTGACTAGCTGAGGTGGCTTCCTACTTTAAGAGGCCTGTTGAGTGAAATGCAGCATCTGTTAAGAATAGAAGCAGCAGAGATGCCATAGCTGCAGCTTAAGATTTTGCCCAGAAAGGGATTACACACTGGGCTAAACCGCCTTTATTTCATAGAAGAGAAATTGCTAAAAGTTGCCCTCTTGTTTATTCATGTACAAAGGGAGGGTGAAGAGAAGGAAGGGCAATGAAATCACCCCATTTCTTTTGGCCACATTTTTAAAATACGTAAGACTACAGAAGCATTTTTGTAAGCATACTTCCAAATCCTGATCTATAACCACTGCACATGATAAAGCGCACAGTGCAGATGCCAATACACTGCTCTTTAGTTCAAGTTGCGTTTTTCTGCACAAATGCTTTCTGGGTGACTTCACCCTTTGACTGTTCCTATACAGAGGATCAAGTAAACCAACCTTGAAAGGCTAAATTGGTATGAGCAGGAAGCCCACAAAAGCAAGAAAGTAGCTGCCAGTTATACAAACCCTGCCTTTGTTGCTAGAACTCTACCTCAGCACAAGGTTTAGAAAATAGTTTCTGTTGTTACCTAAGAGAATAGGTCATTCTGCCTAATCAACATGAAATCCTGCTTCTAAGAGCTGCAGTGCATTGCTAGCAGAGTAACATCATCTCCACACTTCGCTTCTCACAAAGAAATCTCTGAAGAGTTTTCTGGGAAAAATCTCAATCTCAAAATTAAATCCTGAGGTAGCATGCACTTGGAGCCCTGGGAAGCACAGAGAGCAGCAGCCCATGACAAAACTAGAGTACTCAAATCCTTTAAATGAAGGACTCAGTGTGACATTCTGGACTATGGCAGAAAGCAGCCACATTCCCGGGGTGGCAAATGAATAAAATGATGTTGAGTAAAGTGCTTATCTGCAGCAAACACTTGATACCCCCAAGCCCATTTCCTGGGGTTCATTCTCCTTACCTTCTCTAGGCAAGTCTAACTGCTGGGACCTTTAAATGCAAATCCATTCTTTGGACACTGCGCTGGCCGCATCACTTGTGTGTACAAGTCCATCCTCTGCTGCATACTACAAACACAAGTTGAGACAGAAGCAATCAGGAGCCAGGCTAGTGCAGAAGGGCAGCTGGCTATGCTACCTTGACCTTTATGAAGGCTGTGGGCAGGTATCAGCTCAGGCTACATAATTGGCCATTTGTGCTGCTCTGTCACCATGGCATCAAGAGCAATTCAACAGCAGAAACTACACTGGGATAATCAGCCTCCCAACAGCCTAACACTTGGGTACACACAGGATCATGTTGGAGACGGCCTTTCGACTCGGGCAGCCAAAACAGACCCATCTCGAGTGCTCACCTCAGGAGAGCTGCAGCAAACCTCTCCCTCATTGCCTGAGCCACACACACAAAAAACGTTCCAGAAAAAAGTAATCCCATACCTAAGAGCCCACAACAAAAAACACACCTTGTGCAAGCCTCGTGCCTTCCCTGTGCAGCAAGGGAAGGGCCCTGAGCCAGCAGATGGGCTGTCCCCACACAGGGTGCTCTCGCTGCCCCAGCTGTGCGCTCCTGAGCCCCCAGGGCTCCCTCCTGTGCTGTGCTGGGGCAGCATTTTGCAGGGACTGCCATAGAAGCCAGAGCAGGGAACACTCCCTTCCCATGCTGCTCCCACCAGGGCCTCCAGCTGCTTTTGCTCGAGTTGGGCAGCTCAAACTGCAGCTCAAACTCACGCAGGCAGAATCTGCTGCCTTCGCACCCAGATGCGGCAAGCACTTGCCAGTTTGTTAGCCCCAGGCTGGGGCCAGGCTAGGATCCTCTGATGTCTGGCTCCCATACACCCAGGCAGTGTGTGAACATGCACTACCCCACAGCTGAAGGGCTACAGCTACTTAGAGGAACAGGGGTGGTCACGTTTCAGCATGGACAAGCAGCAGCTACAACATTTCATCCTTTTGCAAAAAAAAAAAAAAAAAAAAAAAAAAAAAAAAAAAAAAATAGAAAAAAAACGAGACAAAAAAATTTACCCTTTTGAAAAAAAAAAAAAAAAAAAAAAAAAAAAAAAAAAAAAAAGCGCATTAGGAATAAGAGTGTCCAGATCCAGATGGGGACAAAGTATATAACTGTTCTAGTCTGCTTTTTCCTAGTTAAACAAAGCCCAGAAACAAGTATTTGCATATTTTAACCTGTGGTCAGGGAGAATTTGTACAACTACTCTTGATAGGTTCATGTTGCCCTCTGACACAGGTGCACACAGGTGGGGCAGGGGTAGAGAGCTCCTCACATCAGCCTCACAAGGCACAGGCTGCACCCTTACAGCCACACTTCTCATTCCTTCACAACAAGAACCACCTTTACTCTGAAGGGCCTGCCATCTAACCAGAGAAAATCCAAGTTTGAACCATGAATACAAGACAGAGCACTTTCTTCCACCTTCAGTGTAAGCAGAAGTTGTCCACCACATCAGCCTTACAAAACCTTCAGGAAGTTTGACGCTCCACCCCAGGGTCCTAAGAACAGGAGATATTTTCAACTACCTTTGGGGCTGACAGACAGACACACACATACAAACCTGCCACACAAAGACAGGAGTCTCTACCTTTAAAATAGGAGGAAAAACATCTATTAAATTGGCAAATACCAGAGGTATGAGTGAATTCATACAGTCATGTATTAATCAGAGAGAAACATTTAGATTGCCCTGTCTCCTCTTTAAACATGGATAAACAGGACAGACCATGTTCTCAACAGGGTAGGCTTCTTCGTGAGGGAAGTTATCACCTTGGGAGGCCTTACTCTAGAATGGGACCAACTCCACTTCTGGAAGCCCAGGAAGCTCATTGGAAACAAATGCCACCTGTGTGCAGCCAGATAGACTGCGCAGAGAGGAATGTGTGGCAGGTTCTGTAACGCGCAGCCTCCCGCCCACGTGAGGCGGCGGCAGAGCAACAGGCATGAAGCAGACAGCCCAAAGCAGCTGCGGGCGCAGTCTGCAGCGGTCTGTCCTCAACAGTGCTGGAAATGGTCTGTCCTAAACACTGCTGAGACTTTAGCAGCCACCAAGAGAAGGCTACTGGCTAAGCAACCTATCTCTGCACCCTGACCAACATGAGCCTCGCTAGCCTTTACATGTGAGCAGTAAAGAGCAAGTGGATGACAAGCCTCGAGGCAAAAAGGATCTTCTTTCTCACTACTGGATTGTGTTCCTGCAAATAAGCAGGAGGAGAAAACCCTCTATCTTCAGATCAATCACTTCACCCAGCTTGCAGTGTAGCAACATCAATTAATCCCACATACTAATCCAAATATTTTACTAGATACCAGCAAAAGTGTGTTAGGAGGTGGCAGCAGGAACAGCTAATTGAATGTCAATCACTCAGCATATTAAGTGAACAGAAGGGATTGGGATCTTTAAATAGAACAATTAGTTTCCATGACATGTGGGTGGGAGAAAATAGTTGGTCAAGTAGATCTTGGATTCTGCTGCCAGCAGCAGAAACATTTCTGCAACTTAATGAATATTAAAGACAGAGTGCAGATGGATTTGTCAAAAAAGCCAAACTGTGATGGAGGATGACTCACTATGAGCAAAGGTAGGTAATGAGAAGCCCCATGTTCAACCACTTGGTTGTCCATTTACATTACAGTGATTAAAAGCCACGAGTAGGCTGTTATCCTCAGCAAGGCCAATCACTGAAGATGTGGTTTCATGCAATCCAAGCCAGCAGAGGTTTTAATAAGCAAGTACTGCAAGAGCTGTGGTCCAGAGTATTGCTATGAAGATGCTGTTTCTGGCTGCAGCTATTCTCCATCTGTGACACACCTCCCAGGCTAAATACACATATGGTCATTTCCTAACCTAGTTCTGTCAAGTGATCCTGGATAGAGAGATGCAAACAAAGCCATTGGTGGCAGCTCTGAATATCACTCCTAAGGCAGTCCACTTATTCCAGCCTCCTAGTTTTACAGGTTTAAACAGGTTGTCAGTTATGCTCTCGTGGATCTGAGCAATGATCAGGGTTAGGAAAAAAAACCACAGATTTTTTTAAATAGAGTCATTTAGCCTATAGACAAAAAGCAATACATAATCCATGGCAGGAGGAGGTGGAAGCAAGCAGATGAGGACACTAACAGGTCTCCCTGAATTTCCTAATGCAGGCGGTGTCAGACTCATGCCTTTAACTACCAAATATAAAGACTTGCTAATGTGAACTCCTCCAGATATGGGCTGCAAACACATTGCTAGGAGAGGGAAGTGATCTTTCAACCCAAACTCTGCAACAGTTAGACTAGCAGAGCTGACTAAAGGTACACAATCTTTGGAAGAGACCCACGCTCACAAGCACTACCAACATATTTCTAAAGATAATGAGGACACAGAAATAAACATTTACCCTCCCAGCTGTTTCAGTAGTCCAAGTGTTTACCATAAGACATAGCACATAAGAAAAACTACAGTTATTCTTAGTTCAAGGACTTCCTGAGCCAGATGCAGTTTGGTGTGTTCACTAACTTACAATGGGATTTCCTGGCCCTGAATTTATCCAGTTTGGACAAATTTCAGCTTTTGGCATCTACTGTGTCTTTATTAAGGAGTCATACCAACACATGGCCCACTGAAGAACAACCTACACCAACATACTACCCACTGAAGGACAACCTTCTGTTTCAGCCTAAAGTATTTGTTGCCAATCTCGTCCTCTCCAGCTGAGGTATGATCAAGTATTTTGACAGTTTTTTGATGTTTTCAAGGCACTCTTTAGAAGTGACCGAAACACCCCAACCAAATAAAGAGGACTCAGCTTACTATTCTAAAGCTACAAGCACCACACTAATAGATATCAAGTGTCTGTATAGTAATGTTATCATAGCACATGCTAACGGTGGTCCAGAATACAGTTACTCTTGACTTTCAAAATATACATATGCAGAAACTAGTACATCTGTCTATCCAGGATTAGATAAAGAAATCCCTTTCTCTGAATTCTTTTTGCTTTCTTGAAAGCCAAACATAATTACAAGCTGAACAGAGATATCAAAAACTGACAGATCCCAAATAAAAAATGAAGAGGGAGAGCAAGCCATCTTAATAGCACAGAAGGCAGCCTTTTCTTTGCATTGTCAGTTTCATTGCCCAAGCTAGAACAATATTAAGAGGATTCCAAGAGTTCCAGGGATTTCCTGACAGATTCAAGAAAACCAAAGCCATTTTTCACCCCTTGCCTCCTATCTTGGAGGAGCGTGTGGGAAAACAGAACCAACTATTATAAAGCAGCTTGACCTTGTGAAACACCTTTTGGCAGCAGGTTAAAGAAGCTTTCCTTAACAGTGAATATTTATAGAAATAGATTTATGACATTGTCTGATCATTAGCCACCAGCTCTGTATTGCTTTTCCATGCATTTATAAATGCATGACTTAGTACAGAGGATACCCCCATTCTTTTCTGCTGTACATTTAACTTTTTTGAATTAAATTTCAGAACGAGAAAACTTTAAGAAAGTTCTTACTGTTATGTAAAAAAAAGGAACCCAATTACTTATTACATTCTTTACAAAGCATGGAAGCTTGCATTAAAAGTGAAATTAAGTCTTACACTTCTCTAAAATACATCAGCTTCAAAGGATCATCACTGCTATTAGTCATGAATAAGTGGTCTGTAAATCAAGTGTGTTCCAAATGAAAAAGCAGCATCTAAATAACAAACTGATACCATAAAATGGAAAGCCAAGCTTATTCTGGAAATTCTACTATCTTTATTAAAAAAAAGTATTTTTTTACTACCATAGAAACTATGTAAAATTGCTTCCTAAGAATAGATTACAAATAATTAAAGAGTGTTTTGACTTAGGATTGATCAGTCTAACCAACATGTGTCAACAGCCCAAACCACTGCTGACAGGACTCCTGTGAGATCTCGTTCAGTGAGATGTTTCTGTAGAGCTCTCCTGAGTCTGCAAGGACCATTAAGCAGGGCAGTATCTCAAACTCACTACAAACTACTACTTCATATTAGAATTGAGGTTACTGTGTTATGATGACACAGAAGTATTGAGAAACCTGCTTTATACTGCCAGGGCAAGTTTGGGACTTTATTTTTCTTGATCTTACGTAAGAGAGGTCAAATTTGATAACATCATAACTTGATGACAGACATGAAGGCATTCTAAAAATTCTCAGAGTAGAGAAAACTTAACATTCTAGTGGAAAAGAGGATAAGGAGCTCAAATACACTCTTAAAGAAGCAAGAAAACCTTGGTTATTTCACAGGTACTACAGAGTCCATCCTGTAGTCCAACAACTTCATGATCAGTAGCTATTTAATCCTTTCTCTCACCATAAAAGCAACCATGAAAACCTGCTGGAGGGCTTTTGTCAAGGAACTTGCTGAAAAATCCCAGAAGGGAAGTAGTTTACAGCCAATAAGGAGCCCACCTCTTTCCAAGGCCTCAGGACAGCAGGGAGGAAGTGGCATCAAGAGGTTTTTACCCTGGAGGACACAGCTAACACCCTCAGAAGCCCCTTCACAAGAGGGAGGATGAGGTTGGGTAATAACTTTAGATGTATCAATGATATTACATTGAAGCATAACAGAACTGAATTTTCACCATAAAGGTCAAGTGACACTTTATTATAGAAATAAAGCAGAATTTTGGCAGAAATGATTGTAATAGACACCCATCTACCCCTTCTGAAATAAAGGGCAAGGGGCTTCTTTACAGATGCAAGAAGAAATACTGGACATGCCAGATCCTACCAAGGGTACTGCAGCACACGTCCAGGAGATGGTTGGGGGAAAAAGTCCTGCTTTAACTAGGCAAATCTAAACAAAAGCAAAAAATTGCTACCAGAAATACTCTACAACCTGGGAAACCCTTAGACATCCTGAAAATCACTTCCCTGAAGAGAACATGGAGCAAGCTGTTCAGGGAAGCCCAGGCCTTTGGGATAACAGACAATGTTCTTTCAAGGGCTTTGGGCATTCGCTTCAAAGGACATCTTTGCTCCTGCTTGGTTTCTCCTCCGCTTTACCTGGGGTAGTAGGCTGTGTAGTTCATGAAGAGCTGGGTCCCAGCAGGGTAGTAGGCTGTGGAGGGCTGCAGCGTTCGCGGGCTCAGGAGCACGGACGGCTGGTACAGGGCAGCTTCCGTGGGCACAACCGCAGCAGGAGCGGGAAAGGAGTAGGAAGGGGGCGAGAGGCCTAGAGGGGAACAAATGGAAAAGATCAAGACCTTTGAAATTCCAGCATATATGTGGTGTTCATTAGCAGAACCAGCTTTCAGCCAGTAAAGGCCCTTCGCTAATTAAGGGGCTAATTCTCTTGCTCATCCCAGAAAATAAATCTCTGGGCCACTGATGTGGCTTGGCTGTAGCACCCAAAGTCAAACAGGCAAAAGCATGGGTTAATAATACACAAAAAGCCTCCTCACAGTCTAGGAATATTGGGAAACTCTGGGAACTTTGGAAAGAGGCCCTTTTTCCTCTTGTCTAGGCTCAGATTTGAATGAGGTCTCCATTTAAGAAGACTCAATCTCTACTTGAAGAAAAAAATTCAGAGTCCTAAAAATCTACCTAACATTCCTCACTGCAGAAGGTAGATTTTTGTCTTGATGTTCTGGTTCCCCGAACAGATCTATCACTAGTGGAAAGGAATAGCGACACAACAGAAAAGTGTTCTGAAGACTACCTTATCTATAGCTAGAAAACAGGGTAGGGCAACTTAAGAGATTCCCAAAGTGTGAGACTCCACTCATGGACATGTTCCAGGAACTGTCTGGAGAAGCTTCTATTCTTGTCCAGAACAGTTGTCACATACAGACATTCACTGTACACCTCTGCTTGCACTGCAAAAAGTGCTAGTCAACTGCAGAACTCGTGTCCAAGGGATTAGCTGAACTCTGCTCTCACTGCCCAAGAGGAACCACTTCCAGGAAGCTTGCTGTCAGATTTGCCAGTCTGACTAGACTTTAGAGAACATTCAATTTCTTAAAGGAAAAACCCCACACACATGCAGAGAGAGCAAATACATTCCCCTACCCTGGCTACCCTGCCACCTGTGACCTTGGAAGCAAAGGATTATTTTTCCCATAGGCTGAGATTTATATTGTGTGCATGCCTAATAAGTAAGCCCTTAAATTCTTAAAGCTTTTTTCCCCTGCAAGTATTTGTCCAGACACCCCTGTTCATTACAGAAGCTCTAAGGAGCTCAAGTTTAGAAGTTTTTTATAATAACTTCTGCAGTTCTCCCATGGAAGAGCTATGTGCATTTTGCTTCCACACAGGCAGCCTCAATGCTGCACAAACAAAAAGCTACAGAGGAAATTGGCGAGTAACAATTTTAAAGGTAGAATACTTGTGGTCAGGTCCCAGAGGAGGGCATTACCAACAGCTTCATAAACCAAGTTTTGGATGGGAAAAGGAAAAGGCTGTTCACCATGACATAAATACAAATCAGTTTAAATGGGAAAGTGTTATTTAAGCCCTCGGCAGTCAAATTACTTTTCTGAATCATGGCTCACCCTAGCAGGGCCGAGAGGAAGTTTGCTAGGGGGAAAGCAAGAGTAATTTGAAAATAGTTCATTTGTAGCAATCCACAACCTAGGGGAAAAATAATGATTGCAAGCACTGATGATTTAAGATGGAAAGGCCTCATTTCACCACCTGCATTTGACACTCCCTTCCAAGAACCAGAATCAGAGTCAAGAAAGCAGCTCCAACACCTACCCGCACATAGCGTAGAGTATTGGCAAGACCTGTGCCAAACTTACATGGTAACTTACATGGTGGTGGGGACAAGCCATTTCGATTTAAAGTGCCCCCCATTAATACAAAGTTCATCTCCTCAGCAGAACACTGAAAGACTTCAACATATCTGTCCTTCATAGTCTTCTTGTGACACTTCTGCGCAGCCAGAAAAGCTCGGTCTGCAGATTTCATCTGAATAAAAGCATCTCCCGATGGACGTCCCTGCAGACAAAGCAGACAGGTGTTTCTGGAGCTCCCATAAAGTACCAGCATAACAAAGCTTTGAGCAGTAGGAGCACTCTTTATATCCATATTTTATCATTATTAATTTTTTTGCTCTCCAAAACCAAGCTCAGTCATTCCCAGACTGCCTGTTGTGCCTCTTGTTTAAATATGCCTCCAAATTTCCTACTATTGCCAGGGAATCCTACCTAGTCTTTCCACTACATCATATGGACATTTTTATGACCTGTGTTAACTTTTTTCTTTTTATTTACAGTTTCAAATAAGTTAAGCTGTATTGTAACTTGAACCATGTTTATTCCATTGTTAAAAGCAAAACAAACACATGGTAGATGCAGCACTTCCCAAGGGCACTTTACTGAGACTCTCAACAAATCAACTTATTGGGAATAAGCAATTAGAGTATCTGATCCACACTTAATGACCAGTGATTTTTAAAATTCAAAAGGTAAATACAGCTTCAATTGCCAACATTAAGCAATTTTAAGCCCTATATGTGCTAGAATATTTTAGAAGGGCACTAGCCTAAGGCTGATAAAGCAGGTGGGCTTGGTACACATTTGTGGGGAAAACACAGCCTTACAGACAGCCATAGGCAAATAATTCTTCCCTTTATGTGCCCTACTGCAGCCACACAGCTATTGGGCTTAAAGTAGCCAAAAATACAGGTAGAAATGTGAGGTCAGCTCTAATTTAAGTTCTGAGCCAGTTCTGCTAGTTTGAGGCAATAACAGCTATATTGCCATCCTTTACACACTACAGGAATTAGAGGAATTGAAGTCAGGAATGGTAGGAGTAAGTAGAATATTCAGGAAAATTAATTACCTTCCCCCTCCAAAAACAAAGCAAACAACAACAACAAAAAAACACAAAACCAAAAACAACAAAGCCCCCACACCCCTGCTTATGGGTGTCCATTGGCCTAACCCAAAAGGCTACACACTCACAGCTGTTTCTTCCTGCAGACTATCTCACTGCTGCTAGCAAGGGCTGACTCTAGTGTGAGAGACTTGTTTGTGCTTTAGCATCTTTATACTGGTCTCCTCCTAGCTGTGTAGATTCCTTATAAAATTTCTCAAGCCTTATCCATGGCTAAGTCAAGTCCTCACAGACCCAGGAAACTTAAGACAGTATTTTAACTACAGTCCCTTCTCCCCCAACATAGAAGCCTTACAAGGAAGGATTGGAAGCATTTTGCCATTTAAGACAAGTGCTGCTCAAAAAAAAAAAATAAAATAAATCTAGAAAAGCCACTTTCAACCAACAGTAGTTTTCAGTGCAACTACTCAGGGCATCTCCATAGAGTTAGAGGAGCTGCCTTCTCCTTGTCTTCACCTCCCCCTAAAGTCCCAAGGCTATGCAGATAGAGGAGGAGGTCACAACATGTGGCTTAGTTTCTATGGAAAGTTATTTAGATGGTTTCCAGGAAACAATGGCCAGAGATGTGACTATCTCTGCAAGTCAATGAGCTCTTAATTTTGGTGCTTAACTGTGAACATTCAAACATTAAAAAAAGTCAACCATGAGCAAGAGCTTCCTCTGCTCACATGTGCCACAGGAAATCCTTTGGTCTCTAGGAGGCTGCAGTCACAGGTATCCTCAGAGCCCCCTGAAGCAGGTTGTTCAGCGAGGCAGGCACCAGCAGCCCTGCTCCTCTGTGAGGTGCCACTGGCCACGCTTTTGTGGGAGGCAGGGTTGTGGATGAGGAGGAATTCTGCATGCTGTTGAGCAAGGCTTTTAGCTCAGGCCTCCTACAGCGTGGATGAGAGCTGCTGCACGGGAGCACAGGCTGGCACATGCCCACCCGGGGGCGGCAGCTCAGCTTCAGGCATGGGCCTCTCCAGAGGAAAAAGCTCCGTGGTGCAAATGCAGCAGCTGTTAGGAGGGTTCAGATAAGCTAGAGCATCTGTTGCAGCTGCTTTCTTGGAGTAGAGCTGAAGGAGTTAATGGCACTAGTGTCAGTGCCACAGGTGCCCTTCTAGCGAGGATATCACCTTCTGCACTGTGTTCGTGTACACAGGCAAGTGGCACAGGGCAGCCAGAGCTTGCACTTCTGTTGCACCTACCAACCTGGTGATTTAGCACCATGTGAACTCCGTGGGTCCGGATATCTGTCGAAAACTCGCCCAGGAACTCCAAAATGTCCTCAATAGTGGCAGCGTAGGGAAGGCCACGCAGGCGTATGCAGTCTCTGACACTGGTGGGAGGCACATACTGCTGAGGTAGCACTGGGAGGATGGGCGGCGTGGGGAGAGGGATGAGCGGCGTGGAGGAGTATCTGTTCAGCACCTGGGCAAGAGAGAACAGACCCCCCTCGTCATTCTGCACTGCCCAAGAACTGAAACCCCAATCCCCTCTTCTCACTCTGGGCAGTGTTTTAAGGAAACTGAAAAGCTAGTTTCTGGACCTGCACTTAACTCCTATTGTTTTATACCTCCTTGGATCACTTTTGCCTGAAACATCATTTGGAGCATTTACTTGGACTATCAGGAAAGTTTCAGAAGACCTCTTGGACCATGAAACTTGTACGTATACAGCATCTTTATTGGAAAAGTCTGAAAGCTTTTCCATCAACCAAAGGTGCATGGGAGATTTTCCCTCCACATTGTGTGTTGAATCTTTACTGTGGAACATTAGCAAATAGAAAGAAATTTCACTTCCAGCATTGACTTGAGATACCACAGTCCATCAAGTAGCACCATCTGCTGGGTCACAGCAGTTGAAAGAAAACAAATAGACTTTGAGATTTCCTATTACTAACAACAACAGAGCCAAAACAACACACACCCCAGCCTTGCCTTGTCAAGAACTAGCTGACTATTCAATCACTTCAAATATTAAGTTATCTGAATAAGATTAGGATCACTTTACATTTAAACAGGTTTCAGAGGTTTTTCCCTAAACAGAATACAAAGCAGTGCCTTACCACACTGAGCAAAGCAGGACAGGAAGAAGAATGGCAGTTATACTTTGCCACCATTAGTGTCACCTGCAGAGCACTGAGGCAGGCAGTGAAACCTCTGTATTTGTGGAGTGGAGTGAACCCCCGAGAGCTGCTCCATTGCCTGGTTAGTGAAGTAGCTACTGGCAGGCCATGGTCTGCACCACGGGCAGGACCTTCAAGGTATGTTTAGAAGTAGGTTACTGACTTCAACCCAGAATAAGCTCTGCAGATCTTGGGAGACAAACACACTCCTCTCAGCTTCATTTCTTTTCCCTGACATGGGAATTGCAATTAACACCACGTCAAGCCCCATTTGTGCAAGAGGCAGCAGTTTCACAAGGCCCTGCCACCCACGGCTGGGCAGGCAGTGCTGGCACAAGTTAGCCAAGGCCTGTGCTCACAGGCAATTCTTGAGAACCTTCAAAAACTCTCTGAAGAGGCTACCTAGATCAAAAGGCTTTATTTTGCTATCCCAGTGACTAAAAATAAATCTTGTCTATCAAGATTTGTCACTGGCACGCCTCCTGAAGAGACCTAAGCCACTGGGGGCTTAGACAGAGCCAGGATCTCTAGTGCACAGCACTAGACCTATGTAAGACTTCCTTTAGAACTGCTGCTTGTGGGGCTATCAGAAGATAAAAACAAGAGTTTAAAGAGTCATACACAGCAAGACCCTTCATTTAGGGAAATTAAACCCTTATGGAAATCAGAGAGTGCTCTTTCCAGCAAGAGGAGTCAGAGAAGGCTGGGGGGGAAGGAAGGGGAAGCTCCTTAGTCACAGCCAAGCAGTATTTGCTTAAGCTATTGTATGCAAATTTAAGACTCTGGATTACAGGCTTTACAAGCATTTGCAAGCTTTATACCCACCTGCCGAACTTCTGCTGCAGTGCTCCTGAAGAGCTCAATGTACCTCTTCCCCAGCAGGTCCTTGTGCTTTTTCAGGGCATTCTGCGCATACTCCTCGCAAGCAAAGAGCACGAAGGCGTCCCCCGTGGGCCTGCCGTCAGGGTAGGTGACAAACAGGACGCCCTCCTTGCCACCCGTCACGGGGCAGTGCTGCCCGAAGAAGGACAGCACTTCTTCTGTCGTTACGTTGAAGGGCAGCCCTCGCATCCTGACGATCACTTGGTTTTCTTTGGACAGGAACTGTGCCACCTCGTTGGAAGTGCCTTTAACACAAGCAGCACAAAGAGCTACGTTGCGGCAGCCGCACAAGCGGGGCTGGCACTGCTGCCGCCGCCTCCCCACACAGCTACTGAGCAAGCATTTGCCTCCAGAGGCAGACAAAGATGTCCCGGTCTGATGAGCTAGAAATATTACATCTAGGCTGTTTCTCATGGACGTCCAGCACTGCTGCTGCTTTGTCTTCT